CGCCACCAACTTCATGATCAGCATGCTGTGGAAAGCGCTCGTCCTGGAAACCACTAACTGCAGCTTCTGCGTCCAGCCCTTCTCAGTCTTGGCCAGCAAGACGACGATGTCATTTCGTGATCTCTGCGGCTTGAGAGAAACCTTGTACTCGCACTCGCCCCGCTGGAGCACGACATCCTTCATGAGCTCCTCCCTCTTGTCCTTTGTAGTCACCTCGCCAGGTTTGGGCGCCGCAGCTACCTTCTTCCCGGTCGACTTCGGAGTGGGCGAGAGCATGGCCTGCAAGTCCTCCTGCGCGCGTGCTTCTGCAGAACTCTCCACACACCAACGCATCACCCTACTTTCTGCACTCGACCACGCCCCACCCCGCACGCCCCCCACGTAAGAACACCGCAACTCAACTCCTCCGTCACATGCGAAACTTCATAGACAGCTCCGTCCACCCAAGTGCGCACAATGGGGGCCAGCGGGTCCACGTTTCTGGGCAATGGTGGCTCTGAGAATTCGGTGGGCCCTTTCCGCTTGCCACCAAGGATGAGTCGCCTCCAGGCCAGCTTGTGCTCTTGCGCCCAGCCATATTCATACTCGTTCTTCTCTGCGCTCCGCCCCCCAGTAGAAGGGTGTGTCTGCGCTGCCTGACGGCAGTGAACAAGGCGCACTGCGCTCGGTCGAAGCGGGTCCTGCAAGGCTGGGCTTCGTGGTCATCATCATGGATGTCACGGACCCCAGCGACGGCGCCGAGAAATCATCCTAGCAGCAAACAACTCAACGAGCGAGCCTACACGCAGACAAACAAGTCGCGCAGCCCTTCCTGCTCATGTGTCAGACAAGGCGCCTCAAACAAGTCGAAGCCCTCGGACTTCAGCCTCTTCCTGGGAACTCTGGTTGACGTAGCACGCGGTGCGCCTGAACTTGAAGGTGGCTCCGGAACAACAGACGGCGCAGGCTGTGTGATTTGTGCGGAGGGCTTCTTCAGGGCTGACGGCCTCCTCTTCGCCTTGGCCTTGGCCTTTGCGGGCGTGGCGCCCGGCTCCTCCTTCAACTGCCGCTTTGCAGGCGGGGTGGTCTCTGCATCCTGGCCCTTGCCTCGAGCCTTCGGCTTAGGCTTCGTCTTGCTCTTCGCCGCCGTTTTCACGCCGTCCACAACATCCTGAAGATTGCCGTGCCCGTACGACCGCTTCAGCCCCTTGGCCTTGGCTGGCTGCTTTGGCGTGGCCGGCGCCTTGGGGTTGCCAACCTTGCTGGCATCTGCACCAACGCCCTCAGAGCCGGATGCCTTGCTCTCCTGGCTGGACTCTGTGTTGGAGTCATCGCTGCTGCTTTCCTCCTCATCGTCCTCAGTGCCCTCTGCAGCGTCGTCCTCCACGGCGCCCTCCACGTTGTCCTCTTCCTTGTCTTGGTCCTCCGCCGCGTCCTTTCCGTCGTCCTCCGCAGCGTCCGCAGCGTGCTTCGCGGCACCCTCTCCCTCCTCATCCTTCACGTTCTTCTTGGCGCGCGTTCTGGGAGCACTCTTGGTCCACATGTCCTGTCGCTAGAGGGGTTAAGATAGAACTTGGGTGGCAGCAAGAAAAGAGCGGTTTCAACAATGTTTCAACTGCACGTGTGTCGCTGGCAGTCCTGCGGGATCCATTTTCGACAATTCAAAGCCTCCTGCGACACATGCTTAAACATGGCTTGAAGCCGGAGAGCCCTGGAGGCTGCCCAGCTTGAGGCCTCTGCGTCATCTCCGCAAGTGGGAAACCATTGGTGCTCCTCAACAGGGCACGCGCCTGGCTGCAAAACAACACCTGCCGAGTTTGTGGGGCTCTAATGGGGCGGCATTAGTGGAGTTTTCCAAAAAAGCCTTCGAGGTTGCCATTTTAAGCGTCTCAGAAGCCGTTCGTTCAGTCCTCGTTGATGACCTTCAAGGCCGCATGGATTGTTGCCGGGGCAAAGTTCCAAGTGCCGCTCACCTTTTGAATGCGGCGCAAGTGTCTCATGTAGCACTGCATCTTCGGGACGTCCTTGTGTTTGATGTTCCTCAGCGTGACGCGATTGCTGCAGCTAGGCAGTTCGACAACACCCAAACCAAACCAAGGGCCACTCCTAGTAAGACGAAAACCATGAAAGGTTGCATTCTTGCCGCTTTAGTTTCCGCTCCTGCGTGTAGGTGACAAAATTGACGTTTTGCACCCACGGTTTCAAAGCGTCTCTGAGCCCCTCCACGTCCGTGCAGCTTTTGTTCCGCAAAGGTTTCCGCACTTTGGCCATTGCTGCAGAGGAAGCCCTCGGCCCTAACAGCCGCAAGAGTGTTCCGTGCTGTCGCTAAACTCCTGGGGTTACAAACCTAATGTCCCTTAAGCGTGGCTCTAGACTGCTGCCGCTCACACCACCCCTTCCCCCGCGGCCTGAGGTTGAGAGCGCGGTTGCGAGCAGCAAGCAAAAGATCAACTGCTGCAGCTGCAGATGGGAAGGGTTTTGGGATAAACTTATTGGGATAAACTTAAACACATGTTTTGAGGAGGTTTTCTGCCACAACACGTTTAGCAGCCCTGGCCTGCGCTTCCCCTCGTGTTTTTTTGCAAAAACATCATTGTGGAATCAGGCAACCTTGTAGCCTCAATAAAGCGTTCCCGGCGATGGGGGTGATGCCATATTGCGAAAGATCGCCTTGAGCCCTGCTTTTAGTATGATTTTTCACATGTCTGACAAAGTTGGGCTGTCAAGACAAACAACGGCTGCCCGGCCAACTTGGGAGCGGAAGCGCGCGCTCACTTAAGTCAAGCTTCAAGATACAAACTGAGGTCAAGACACAAACCGTTTGCGCAACAAAAAATGCTAAAACCCTTTTTGCCATTGCGAACTCAGGCGACGTTGAAGTCTCAAAAAGCGTTCCCTGCGATGAAAGACTTCGTTTCTGCGCAGCCCAAATCGTGAAAAGTCTCCTTGAGCCCTGTTTAAAGTTTATGAGCGTGATTTGTTACATGTCTGATCAAGTTGGGTGGTCTTATAACTAACACACACACACACACTTCTCAGTCAGTCACATCTGAGGCAGTCGGGCACTGAACGTCTAGGTTTATAGGGCACCGTTAGCAGTTCGAAGGGTCAAGCCGGGTATAGGTACGTACACCGGATTCAGCAAACGAAATGAAAACGGTTTGCAGGTACGTGCGAGCTGGCCAAGCTCGCGTATCGCCAGATCAAACTGGCGTCTTCGTTGGTAGCGGAGATCTGCCGCTACCCCTGCAATGATAGGGCGCGACCCCCGACTTCCATGAAGTAGGAAGGTCCACACACACACAAACGTGCGCGCGCCTTGGCCGCCGTTTGTTGCGCAAGCAACGGCTGCCCGGCCAATTTTGAAGTGGACGCACGCGCTCACTTAGGTCGAGATGCAATTGAAGTGAGGATGCAAATCGTTCGCGCAGCGTGAAGCTAAAATACTTTTTGGGCTGGCCATGAGTGGAAAAACACGTGTCTTTGCAGCTTCGTCGCCGTGTTGTTCCAGAGGACGCAGCCGCTGCGCCGCACCTCCATTTGTCCCGCGCAGACAAGCATATAAGCCGTGTTTCAAACACGCGGCGCAGAGGCAGCTATACAAATGTGTTTTTTACGGCCATTGGCCGTGCGCACCAACATAAAAGGCCGGCAACGTTGGCTGGGGCGACCCTAAAAATCTAGAGCGAACACATCAGACTAGCTCTATTTTTTGGAGGCGAAGCGTTCACATCCAAAAATTAGATGTGATCAGGGGTCTGGGGAGACACACAGAGAGTCACAGAGACAGACAGAGAGGCACAGAGAGACACAGAAAGACACAGAGACACACAGAGACACACAGAGACACTCAGAGACACACAGAGAGTCACAGAGACAGACAGAGAGGCACAGAGAGACACAGAGACACACAGAGACACACAGAGACACAGAGAGACACAGAGACACACAGACACACAGACACACAGACACGCAGACATACAGACACACAGACACGCAGACACGCAGACACACAGACACGCAGACACGCAGACACGCAGACACGCAGACACGCAGACACCCAGACACCCAGACACCCAGACACGCAGACACGCAGACACGCAGACACGCAGACACGCAGACACGCAGACACGCAGACACGCAGACACGCAGACACGCAGACACGCAGACACGCAGACACGCAGACACGCAGACACGCAGACACGCAGACACCCAGACACCCAGACACACAGACACACAGACACACAGACACACAGACACACAGACACACAGACACACAGACACACAGACACACAGACACACAGACACACAGACACACAGACACACAGACACACAGACACACAGACACACAGACACACAGACACACAGACACGCAGACACGCAGACACGCAGACACGCAGACACGCAGACACGCAGACACGCAGACACGCAGACACGCAGACACGCAGACACGCAGACACGCAGACACGCAGACACGCAGACACGCAGACACGCAGACACGCAGACACGCAGACACGCAGACACGCAGACACGCAGACACGCAGACACGCAGACACGCAGACACGCAGACACGCAGACACGCAGACACGCAGACACGCAGACACGCAGACACGCAGACGCACGCGCGCGCGCACGCGCACGCGCACGCGCGTGCGCGCGCACAGGCACACGCACACGCACACGCGCACGCGCACGCGCACGCGCACGCACACGCACGCGCACGCGCACGCACTCGCACGCACGCACGCGCACGCACGCGCGCGCGCGCACGCCCACGCCCGTCCGCACGCACGCACCCCCACACACACACACACACGCACGCACACACTCGCACACTCTCGCACACACTCGCGCACACTCGCACACTCTCGCACACACACGCACACACTCGCACACTCGCACAACACAGACACAGGCGCAGCGAGGCATGCAAGGATACCGCTGACTTTTTCCCTGCCTTTGAAGTTTCGTTGAGAACTGTTCAACAACGCAAAACTTTGGAGCAATACTTGGCCGCTCAGGCACCTGCTTTGCCAAGTGGCGCCTCAGCTGCCCTTTCCGCCCGTGCGACCTCGACCAGTTCGGCCGAGGAAAAACTAGAACCCGTTGCCACACGTACTCCAGCTTTTGTGCCTGATGCGAGGCATCATCAGTCGCAGGAAAGATGCCATGGCCAGTACTCCAAATGAGGGCCAGGTAATTGGGGAAATGGATGAGAATCCCCGTTGTAGACTCAACTCCTCCCTGGTTCATCCGCCTTTCCACCTGAACATTAAATTAGTTGGCCATTTTGCAGACATGATTGTTCTGAAGGCCTTCTGTCACCAATGCGGAGCGTTGAGCTTGCCTCATCCGGTACTGAATCCATTGCTACTTATCTCATTTTTTGGGACTGGTTACTCCAAACCCATGACTGCGCCGGCTGCTCACTCTCAAGGTGGTTGGTTGGAACATCTTGTTAACATGCGGACAGCACCTTCAGAACAAGTGTCTGAAGAGCAGGTGACCTTGAGCACTACCATGATGGCAATACTTCAAGACGCAATCAGTTATACAAGTTGTTTCTCAACGTTGGCCATTCTTGCAGCAGTCAGCTTGCCGGCGTTGGGCTTCTCCAGATTGCTTGTTCGGAGGGGAGTGATGTTTAAGGGCGTTTGGCTTAGTTCGGCTA